TGTTTTTCTCAGTGTAGGTCCAGGGTGACGAAATCAACGATACAAGCCAATTATTTCAAATGGAGAACTTGATTAAAACTAGTGGTGCTTCATGAAGAAGAAGGAAACAAAAGTTAGAAGATGAGAAGTGTAAAATTTCCAAGATTACCATGTTCTTCACGAATACTACTACTGTTTCGGATAATACAGTTGAATATTATGATGAATGTCCATCAAGTAGTAGCAGTATGATGATTGAAACAGGAATGGATGTTGACTCTGCAGCTATTAGGGAAGAAAAGCTATTATTCCAGATTTTTTGGGATTTTCTCTCCCCAATTCTATAAAATGAAAATATGAATATGATTTCAATATACGTGTAGTAACGACAAATCATATGATTTGTCACAAAATGTCACTGCGTTTAAAGAATTTTCCTATCAGAGAGCCTAAAAGAAAAAAATCACTAGCTTGTCAGTGACAATTTGTATTGAAAGAAGTTTGGAGAAGAGAAATAAAGGCATATAAAAGAAATATCAAATTTTCACTTAGCAAATGACGAGACTTCAGCTACTTATTATTCACAGAGAAGCCATGCTGGGCTATAATTATTTCAAAAAAATGGTTGTGTTATTCAACCAAAGAAAATAAAGCGTATTGTGAAGATTGTTGGCTATTCAATATAACTAATAGTTCCTGGAAAGAAGGGACTTCTGACTGGAAAGGTTTGTCTCGAAGGGACCCTGAATGATTTTGGCGGGGGGGGCAAAATATTAAGTTACGCCCACTGCCTATATAGTCGTTCAAATTGATCTTCAGTCCGAAGTAGTATGAAGAACACATTTTGAAATTAATAAGTACATAAATTAATATTCAAGTGTGAAGAAAGACCTATATAGTCGTACAAATTCATCTTCAGTCCGAAGTAGAAAGAAGAACACATTTTGTAATGTGAAGAACTTAATCATTCATTATGCTATTCCAATAGATTGTAGTTGAATGAACATTGGATCATCTATAAATACTAGAATAATAATAAACTTCAAGCCAAGCTGAAAGTTAGCTTAAGGCAATGCCTTGTTGACATCACCCAGAAATTGTATTCTTTATTGCGAAACAGATAAACAATTTGTGAATGTCGGGATGCAGATACAAGAACCAATGAGAAGACTTGTGAACAGGTATAAAAAAGTTAAATTGAATATTTACTGTGGTCAATATACTATGTTCATCTTGTACCTTTGCTGGGTTTGAATCAGTTGCAGATTATTCCCAGAGCAACGAGTGCTTGTCCACAGAATTACAATCTCAGCTAGAAGCCTTAATATTCAGGATCATATTTATAAATATATAATAAGAATTTGTAAAACCTCTGAAGATAGAGTTCAATTATAAAATTGAAGAATTGGAATAGTTCCTACTCGATGTACTTATGTTAATGTTGTGTTATTATGAACAACTCACCATCTTCTGCAGGATGTTTCATCCTTTTACAATGTAGAACAACTATCATTACTATGGCGCCTATCAGTGCTGATGTCAGGGATACTATGACTAAAGTGAGGACCCATCCGATTTCTCCGGACGTCTCTGGAAAGAAAAAAATAGTCCTCATCAATAATATGTATAGGAAAATACTTTTATAACACAAAATTCAAGATGGTGCATAGGCATTCACGTGTTTGTAATGGATGCTGCTTAGAATATAAGCAGTGTCCAATAAGAGCGGGTTCAAACGATACTCTGTCAATGCCTCCAAATACAAAATATTAAACGTTGACAGTAATCGCATCGTACAGAAGAAATAGTAGATTGTTTCATTAGGATCAAAAGTGACACTTTGCGAGTCAAACAAAGTCACTTTGAGCCGAATGAAACATGCTATTTTTTCTACAACCGAAACAATGAACTCAAATAAATATGTGAAGTAACCACCAATGCCGTACCATATGTATGCAATGCAACAAATACTCCGTGTGGTGAGAATATTCTACCTGCAATAACAGTAGGTTTATTCAATTTTTAGGGATGTTCGAATTGTAGTTTCAATATAAAACGACCACAAAGTGATATATTTGTGTATGGACCAGGTGCTCTAATGGCAAATACCGCGCCAGTGCCAGGTATAGGAACAAGACGTGGAAAATCTTAGGTTAGTGAGCATATCAACAGAAATAATAGTGATTATTTATTTCTCCCCATACTCCACTGTGTTTGGCTTGATAATCAAATTGAGGTAAACAATATCGTTGTTTGAGACAAAAAACATTTGCTGGCCGTGATTATTCAAAAACAAGTTATCCATCCCGAGAATAGTAACGAATGAAATACAGATCAAGCAAGTATGTGAATCTTGAGGGCTTCCCTGATCAAAACAAAAATACTCAACTATAATAAGGTGTATTTATATCTCCAGCATGGGTATGAAATGCCAAATCTGCCGAAATCGGAACAAATCAGGTATGCGTCCCAACCCAAATAACCAACCGTATTCTCGATGACCTCTAGTACATCCTTTTCAGTTCCTAGGAGCTAAAGTTCAACTTTAGCTACTGGGAATTGAATGTGTTTCCCAGCAACATAGGTACCTATTTTTGTGTCAGTAATAGAAACGTCAATTTAAGAGCTAATTTTGGTATTAAAATGAACGACTTTTAATTTGGTTGTAGAAAAACCCTATTATGCTAGTAGAATTTCAACAATGAAAAGAAAGTAAATAAAAAAAAATCGATAGAAGTGACGCAATAACAAACAGAGCGAGATTTAGATTGAAATCGCTTTGAAATACCTATACACGAAAGCTAACACTGACGAATATGACATATTACACATGACTTTCTCACACTATGATTGGCAAAATTTAAATAGCTTGTAAAAAATCTCACCGAGTCATTCATCAACGCCCACATCGTGTATCTTTTCAAAATAGCTAATCAGTGTCCGAAAGAGATCCAGTTATTATAAAATGGATTTGTGTAATCCAACAGTGATACATTGTTGTGATAATACACGAATAACTGTATATCATAATTAGGTGTTGGATACAGTGTTACACACCTCTGTTATGACCATTCTCAGTTTGATATGAAGAGTCGGAGAATGAGTTCATTATCGGGGCATACGCGACTCCATATTTGGTTTGAGCCAAGAGGAATGCAGCCTGCTAATCATACTATTCATTCTAGACTTCTGACGACCTCGAAGGAATTATTAATATACAGAGTCTAGGAATTCTTGTACCTTTTGTGTTCCCATCTCTTTCTGGTATTTTTGAGTATGATAACGTAGTTGTCGCTAGCGGATTTGACGACGGACTAAAAATCTCTGCTATCATTTCATCACTAGCCATACCAGTCAGACGTACTCGGCAATAAGCCCCGTCAGCACATCCTCACATCGTCAACGTAGTGATATATGTCGGACAACTCTTTCTACCAAACCTCGTTGGTCTATAGAACGGCAAAGCTTTGGAATTCCTTGCCAGGAAACTTAGAACTTACGAGGCAGGCAGGCCAACGCTTTCAATGAAGATCTTGCGGAAACCACAGCCTGGGTAACCAATAACCTAGTTGAATTCAACGCCACCAAATCTCAAGCCTGTATTTTCTGTAGAAAGGCGAAACTCAGTATGGGAAAATCATGTACGATTCATCGCAAAAGCTGCTTCTTGTTCCGTACGAAAATCTACTTTATACTTCAAGAGCTTTTCATGATCTACAAAGTACACAGATACGGCCAGTTTAAGAATACTGTTCCTATGTATGAGGTTCAGCACCCAAACATACGCTGATGCTCTTAGATTCCATCCAGAGAAGAGCCATTTGCTAGGTGGGTGATGCCATACTCAACAACTCTTTGACCCCATTAGAACACCGTAGAAAAGTCGGCGACCTTTCACTTTTCTATAGATACTTCCACGGAAAATGTTTGCTATAATCTCATCACTAGCTCACTAGCAATACCAATCAGACGAACTCGACAGGCCCACTCAGTGCATCCCTTCGTCGTTAACCTTGAAAAATGTCGAACAATACTCTACCAAATGATCTACGAACATTATAGGAATTTTCTTCCGTCGCTCCAAGAGATGAAAAAAAAGTAGTATTCCAAGAACTTGTTATGTCCAAAAGATACAAAAAAAATATAACGAAATTATCGTCAACTTTCTGACTTGTTAAACTGAAAACGATCATACCAGAATTTCTATTGCAAATTTGTTCCTTTTTTGGAATATTTGTCGCTCGTATTTTTGTGTGAATATTATTGAGATATAACTCGAAGAAGAATTTGCTAGATTGATTTCAGAAAATATTTCGTTATCTGATATGTAGGTATTAACTCAAAAACGATTATAGCAGTTATTATTGCTTTCACACTCCCCATTTGGAATTTGTTCTTTAAGCATTATAGGAATCACATGATAACTGGGATATATAGACATTGGGGGGACTATTTTGAACAGCACATAATTTGCAACACATTCGAATTTGTGGTATAATACAGTTAAGCAGTTGTTGAATGTGAAAAATTCAATACCAGTTCAGTTGCCCTGAAAAATTTCAACCTTGAAGAGAATTTATAAGCCTAATCATAATGATGAAATTATTAACAGTGTTTCATTAGAATTATTGGTGCAATGCCTATCCACAATAATCAAAACTTATGATAATAGCATTCCGAATATCTTGACCATCAGTTTGATTATTCTCATCATCACGTTGTTTCCAGTAGGTACCTTATATCACAGTTGAGAGAATATTACCTTATATCATCCAGAGCGAGAACTCATCTAAACGTATTTCGAGCAATTTCTCACGACTCCAGCCTAAGTAAACCCTCTAATTACAATCAATTCTTTCTGATTATACGGGTAAATAACCAGTTCTGCTTTATCAAAACGGCTTTATTATCCAGTGAATTATAATTCGAGAAAGGAGTTATATGTATCCACACAATCTCGATGAAAATAACATTGAGTTCGTTATTATTGTCGATAGTGGCAAACGGAGATATCGAGTTCATCTTATTTTAATAGAGATGGCTGTTGAGGATAAAGTGAGCGATGAAAAATGTAACGAAGAAGGAAAAGATTGGCCTCAAATCGTTGCAGTGTTGAGCGGTAAGCAACTTATTATAAATTGTTCCCATATAGTGCAGAATCAATCTATTGAATGAATAAATGAGGATGATTATAAGAAGCGGTACTTTTTAAAGAGTAGGTACTTGACAAAATCTCATCGAATTAGTATAATAGGAATGAGAAATACCCCTTTAATAGACCATAATTATTGATAACAGTGCAAAAATATTGATTAGATCAATGTCTACACCTGAGATAGATTATCATGTGGAAGGTTGATTTTACTATACATCTAGTTGCAATGAACTTATTGAAGAATACGTGTTTCTTTTTTGCAGGTTGCCTATCACCCCTCAGCAGTGGCTTGTTGATTGCCTGGACATCTCCCTTCCTACTCAAAATAACAAAAGACAAAGAAAACTACGACGTTACCGAAGATCAAGGTTCGTACTTCGCACTTTTGAGCACAGTAGGCATATGCCTCCTATCACCGTTTGTTTTGAGTATCCCAGATACAATAGGAAGGAAGAATACCCTTTTGCTAACAGCAATCCCACACATGGCCACTTGGGTGATAAAGGCTCTTAGCAGAAACCTGTACGCCATCTACTTCGCCAGATTTTGCGTGGGGTTCGGAGATGCCTTACAGTTTTCTTCGTTACCGATGTACTTGGGAGAAATCACAACGCCAAGAGTGAGGGGTGTCTGGGGTAACGGTATGATTTGCTCGCTGTTCCTGGGTCAGTTTTTGATCAATGTTATCGGTGCCTACTTCACCGTCCAAGAAACAGCTTTGCTCTGCCTCACTGTACCTGTTGTGTTCTTGATGACGTTCTCTTTTATGCCCGAGTCTCCCTACTTCTACATCATGAAGAAGAGAGACGAAGAAGCCAAAGAAGCGCTCAGGAGATTGAGACGGGTTAAAGATGTCGAACACGAGTTTGATCAGTTGAAGTCGGCTGTGTACAGACAAATGTCAGAATCGGGAACCTGGACTGATCTTCTAAAGATCAGAAGTAATAGGAGAGCATTGATTGCAGCCGTGTTTTTGAGGATGGCACAGCTTTATAGCGGCCTATTCGCCTTTGCTGCTTTCACTCAGTATATTTTCGAAAAATCTGGGGGAAAAGTCAACTCGGAAATATCAGCAATGATCTACATGGGATTCGCATTCGTCTTATTTTCCAGTGCTGCTTATTTCTCTAACAAACTTGGGAGGAGGAACTCGTTCATAATTTCTACATCTCTGGCTTCTGTTCTTCTCACACTGGAAGGAGTCTACTTTTATATCGATAGATACCAACCAGAAATTGATCTGGAGATGTTCACGTGGTTTCCCTTGGTGGGCATGATTATTTTTGTGATAGTGTGTTCGTTTGGAGTGGTTATTATTCCTACCCTTATGCTGGGAGAGTTGTTTTCAGTTAGCGTTAAAGCGAAAGGAGTTTGTGTTGTCACTACATTGTTCGGTTTGATGACTTTATTCACTAATGTATTATTTTATAATATCAATTTGTACACTGGCTTGTGTGGGCCGTTTTTTCTGTTTGGCGTATGCACTGCTGTATCGGCCATTTTATCTTATTACCTTGTACCTGAAACGAAGGGGAAAACTCTGGAAGATATTCAACTAACCCTCAAACAACTTAATTAATATTTGTTCTGAAAAATTTGTACCTACCCAGCTAGTAGTAAATAATGAGTGAATAATTTCATTAGCATAGAAACGAAAAAATTATCATCGGTAATAATGAAGCATGCATTGAATAATAGTCAACTTGTAAACATTATATTCAGAGAAATTAATGTCCAGTGTGTCAATAATATTGCCAAGGACGCTAGCGGCACTGGCAGACGGTGGCAATAAAAAGTATGGTGACCATAAATAGAAACCATAAAGAGATGGGTATTTATAGTTTCATAGTGAGGTTGCTATGATGAGCATCAAACTCGCATAAAATACTAGAAACCAATAGGTTTTAAATATCTTGGTTTAACCATTTGATCAACCACTGAAAAACTGTCAACCATACCTGATACTCAAGTTGATAATATAAAAAAGTTTATTATTGTTTGTTCGTTTGTTATTCAGTCGATTCTGTTTTTTTTTTGTCGACATACACGGTCTGTAGGTTAATCGAGAAGGTGAAATATTCATTTTTCTAGATTTTTGTAATTTTCTTCCCTAGTTTGAATATTATATGAATTAAAATTGGAATATGATGATAATGAATAATAAACGTTCCTATTCTTCTTGCAAAAATATCAGCTCATCTATATTCACATTACACAGCAGATGTAAAGGCAAAGTGTTAGCTGACGCTGTTTTGAAATTTAACCCTTCAAGAGAAAGAAGAGGAAACAAGAAGAATGAAATAAAACAATAGTATAGAATAGAATAGCATGAAAATCACCATTGAATATTATAAAGGGAATCCAGCGATTCCTCTATCCCTCATATTTAGTAGTACTTCCAGCTTCTTTGTTGAGTTTAAAATGAATTAAATAATTATATTTCTGTAAATCAGTGGGTGAAGAGTTGTAATATTGAGAGGCTGTATATTTGTATACATGGTGTATCTAAATCACACCGAAAAAATTCAAGGGGTGAGTCCTTGTGATATTTTAGGAAACAAAGTTCATCTAAACATGTGTCCTAACTTAGTTCGTTTTCGAGATACAGGGTATTGATATTTACGTGAAAAATCGTTCTTTTATTCATTACTCAATTCACTTTCTATCAATTTCAATGAAACGTTGTGCTTTTGTTAATATTAATATGGAGCTCGTTCTGGTGAAATTAGATTTGGAATAATATTTCCAGTGGCGTCACAGTGGGTATATATTTATCGATATTTATGGTGAATGTCATTGTACGCCACCGGATTTTTTGAGTTTCATATTTTTATCAGATTGAACTATTGAAATAACAACTTTTTTATCCTCTGTGTAATTTTTGTATCTAGCTTAATATTTGAGGAAACAATAAACATCATATTCTACTCCAAATTTTAATGTAGGCGTGTTTTTAAGACTTCCATTGAGATTACTCAATAACCCCAATTAGAATCATTTTGAAATTCTGGGGCTTTCTCAGTCTCCAACCATACTGAATTTTGGCACCATGAAAGCTTCTACAGGGGGGTTATAAATGAAAACAATAAATACTCCCAACTTCAACGTCCTGTATCTCAAAAACAGAGCAAGTTAGGACACATGTTTATGAAAACTTCATTTGCTAGAATATCACACAAGGAATCACACCTTGAATTTTTTCGGTGTTATATAGATACACCGTGTATATTATGTGTAGTAAAGACAAATCATCTTATGAACGCAATGACCTATTGTGGCGAGTCATTTGATTTGTCTTAACCTCGGTCTTTACTACCCGAGTTACTACCTATACAGGGTGAGTAAGGTTTTGTAGCAGCACTTCATGAAGAACACATATTTTCAAGATGCACATTTCATGTGAACATTTATGTGTGTGAGTTTCGTTTCCGATGATATTTTTTGAAATTTCCAATTTTTCTCCTGCTCAATATTTGGGACTATCAATCGTTCTTGATTATACCTACAGAGTGACACACTCTTGGAATTGGTATCCAATTCAACTCTATTGAACTTTTGCTGCCTTTGCTTCCAATGAGAAGTTAATTCAGATTGTCTTCTATTTGGATACTTATTCCTCTACTACTGAATGTTCTCCGAAAACTGAATGGATTCCAAGATGATAATTATCAAATATAATTCACTTATTAAAAACCTTCACACTCTATTTGACACTTCTTCATAATTGACTAGAAGATCTGGGATGATCGAAAGCTATGCATATACGTTTACATGAGATTTTCATCTTAAAAAATCATCTTCTTTAAGTTGTTGGAGTCCTGCTAGAAAAAACTGATTTACCATGCATATTGGAATGTAACTGTATTTTTAATTATAGATACTTCTAGCTAGAGAAACAAATATAACTCGTCTAAATCACTCCCAAGTACGTACCTATAAATCTCATTCGAAGACTTCTTTTCAAAGCCAACAAAAAGTTGTTCATTTTTAGAGTTGATGAAATCCAATTTGCCTATAATCAGATTATTTAGTCAACTATTTATGTACTAATGAGGGAATATAAAATGAAGTTTTCATGTTGGTACCATTGTCTGAGTGTAATGTCCAAGCAGGTGGATCATGATTCCAAATTCCAATACAATTGGCAGCTATATTTTTTCCTTGCTGCATGCGTGTCTAAAATCAAGATGTTATGCAGAACGCTCTTAATAACATTATCTGATTGTTGCTGTTGAGCATTTGTAGCAGAGATCTGGGTACGCCGGACGTCAGCCTAGTCACGGTGTAAACCCATGAAGATGCTCGTCGGGAGTCGTAGGGGTTCGGGACAATGGAATGTGCGTCCAGCACGCGCCAACAGGTGATTGGTTGGATTCGAGAGTGGAGTCGAGACACGACAGCGAGTCGAAAATCTTGTTGATTAGTTGAAGAGTTGTTAAACAGTGGTTGTTATTATTGTTATTTAGGTGGAAGGTGTTTATTACATGATTATAATTGACGACTGTGTTTAATAAAACCCCACAGCCCTTACATTTGTCAGAAGTGTTGGAAATATTTATTACTCTTTGGTTTGGTTTCGAGTTGTTTTGGCGTAGGAATTGGTTTAGCTGGAAACGACAGTGGAAGAAACCATTATGGAGAGAAATCAGATAGGACTTCAAACACCTCCGAATGCTTCTACATGTGGAAGTTCTACGAATATAGGAGGTACTCCACCGTTGACATTACAACAACAGGTAACATTGTTGAGAACAGAATTGAGTTCGATAAAAGGAAAACTCGAGGTGAGTGAAACAACTTTTACGTGGGAAAACATTCCAAATTTCGATCCGATGAATAAAAACATTACCATAAACAAGTGGATACGTTTAGTCGAGGAAAAAGCATATTTTTGTCGTTGGGATGATGTTTCTACCACGCATTTTGCAGTGACTAAACTAGCAGGTAGGGCTCGTGAATGGTTCCTTAACACCGAAAATATGTGTTCGAATTGGAAAGACTTGAAAATATCACTGCGAAATACATTTGATGTCGATCCAAAAGCAATCGGCGAACTTTTTAAAGACGCTGCTAACTATCAGTCATCAAGTGAGATTTCTTACGTTCAATATTTCACTAATAAAATCAACAAATTAGAAAAATTGACATGGAAGATTTCTGAATCAGACAAAATAAATATAATAATTAGTGGTATAGACAATAGAAATCTGAAACAAAGTGCATTGACTAGCAATTTCAAAGACTTGAGTGAACTGTTAACTTTTTTGAGAAGCTGTGATCAATCGCGAAAAACTGTAGAGAAGCCAATAAATAAAATCAATTGTTTTCGATGCAACTCGGTGGGACACAAGAAAGCCGATTGTCCATTAGGTCGAAATAAAAATGATAATCCGTTCATGCATCGTCTCAATCGGCCTTCAACAAGCAGATACTGCAATTTCTGTAAAAAACCGGGGCATACCGATAATATTTGTAGGAAAAAGGCGGCCGCAGAAGCAAAAACAGTCAACACTTTCGGGAATCATTTTCGGAATTTATATTTCAAGGACATTTTCATACAAAACAAAAAACTCACCGGTTTCATTGACACGGGAAGTGAATGCACAATTATAAAACAGAGTGTTGCAAATAAACTTGATTGCGAAAAGTCACGAGAAATATGTTTCATAAAAACATTTTCGCAAACTGTTATCGAACAACACCTCGTGCAAACGGACAATGTGAACGTTATAACCGAACAATTTTGGGGTCACTTCGTTGTCTAAGTATAAACGATGACAGTGAAGATGTCTGGGATAGACATGTTAAAAAAATTCAGTACGGTTTAAATACTACTGTGAATAAAACTACTAAAGAGACTCCCTATAATATACTGATGGGAATGAACCCAAAATCGGTGGCTGATTCGAGAATTCTGAATGAAATCTCAGAAAGTGTTAAACGAAGAGATTTGAACAGTTTAAGAGAGCAGGTTGAACATAATATAAGTCAAGATCAGTTGAAAGCAAAAGAAAGATATGATAGAAAAAGAACAAAACCGAAGAAATTTAAGGAAAACAGTTTAGTTATGGTTAAGATTACAACCCAAACGCAGACAGGAAATAGCAAGAAATTACATCCGGTATTCAAAGGGCCTTTTCAGGTGAAAAAAGTTATGTCGAATGACAGATATCTTGTTGAAGATTTGAGGGGAAATGGAAAGCATACTACTACGATACCTGTAGAAAACATGAAACCATGGATTGTCTTGAATGATGATCTCAGTCAGCCATTTGAGTAAGTTCCAATTTATTTGTGTGTTGCTATACCAGCCTTGAATGTTGCGCACGATTTGGGAACATATCCTGGTTTAGGTTTTCAAACCAGAAGCCTGTCTTACGAATTCAAGACAGATGAATTAAAATTAACCTGGTTTAGGTTTTCAAACCAGAAGCCTGTCTTACGAGTCCAAGACAGACGAATAATAAAAAAATAACCTGGTTTAGGTTTTCAAACCAGAAGCCTGTCAGAAGACAGACGGACATAATGAGAAGTAAATCTGGTTTTCGGTTTTTGAACCAAAAGCCTGTCTTAGGAATC